GCAGGGCAGCATCCTTCTTGAGTCCGGTCGCGAGAGTGCTGCTCAGATCTCTCAGCGGGTCTATCAGGATGCAAGGACAAACTCGACCGTCAGGATCCCGCCCTCTCGTAGCCCGGGCCCGGTCCGATCACCAACGGATATTTCCCTCGCTCCACTTGCGCATATCCCTTCTCACGAAGACGTCGGTGAAGGCTCGAGTCATGCCAACACCATTGCTGACGAACAAACTCCCTTATTGAACACAAGCGACCTTGATCAGGTTCCGCCTCCCGAGTACTCGAGCCCGGATGGCAGTCGAAGAGGTAGTGACATTACAGGGGACCTGCCAAATCAGAACTCACCGCCGATACCGAGTTACGACGCCGCTGTGGGCAATCAAGCTGACAATACCTCGAGGCCGGACGGCGATCACTGATTGCGTTACTACCTGTCTTTTTGCCTACGCTAATGCATCATTCCCTTTCCTCCGAAAGCGCTCTGTCTATTTACCCTCATATTCTGTGTATACCTCCTTGCCATCTGTCTTACTGTCAAACTTAGCGGGCCCGGTCTGGCGTTTCAATGGGCGGATCATTCTATGACTGGATTTCTATGGGTTATGCCACCTTGATTTGCTGGCAATGATATGAAGTTACGTGTATAGGGATTGGAAATACTTTCGTTCTCTGTTTATGGTTCGCTTTTCACCTCAATAAGTCATAGGGCCGTCACATGGACTTGGTTGTATTTTCCGTTCAGTGCGAGCTGAATGTAGACCCGTAAGCTCCCGTATGTCCTTGCAATATCTCACATAGCTGCAATCAGCCATGCCTCGAAGCGATACCTGGCGTCTATATTAGTGGCTGCCTAATCCCAGGGGTCTATTTCCAAAGTGAAGCAGAGGCATTCTGCCAAGTCCATCGATTTCCAAGCTATCAAGCAGCTGTTATCCCAATAACACTTATCACTCCAACTGTACCTTCTTCGACGGGAATACTGCGCAACGGGTACTTGATCGAAGCAAGCTCCTCAGCTCGTGTCTTTCAAGCCGCTAGAATGGCATCTAATAAGCATAGAGATTAGGGGGATTCAAAACCGCCACGTCTCCAGCTTTTCAGTCTGCTCCCTCGTGATACGATCACGCTCTCTCATGAGGTTAAGTCTGAGTTCGCGGGCTTCTTCTATGGTGAGAGGGTATGATTCAAGGTAATCCAGCACCATATCCTGCAGCTCTACTGGGAGCCCCCTTCTGAGCCAGAGCATCTCTTCGAATATTGAAGCCATCCCACCAGTCTGCCTGCTGGGGTGGCACGTTGGCCGTTGAGATGATACGCACATAAGGGTCGACGGATGCAATACCAGTGACTTGCAATGGCCCGGTTTACCCGGATCGACGAGATGAACGGGAGCGAGGCTGGTTTGGAAAATGTTTGGGAAGGTCACAAGACGGCCTCCGTGGCAGGAGACTTGGCCCAGTTCCACGATCTGCTTTTCTTCCTCGTTGCACCCGAAGACCTGTGGCAGCCAGGGGAGGCCGAATCCCTTGTCGAAGTAATTCTCGTGCAGCCAGTCCAGTGAAAGCCTCTGGCGGAAGGAGAGTATCGGAGTGGTGACATTCTCGCAAGAATAGTTGTATATGGCTGTTGCGCAGATGTGCTCATTCTGGGATTATTATCAACATGAATGTTCTTGCTTTGTGCATATCGTGCAGCGTGTCATGGGACAGATGGCGAAAAGACAAGTTGAGGAAATAAATCTTACCAATAGTCCTTGGAAATGCCAGGGAGTCCCGGTGTATCTTGGCGTCTCGGGTGTCAACTCGATATTCGCTAGTTTCACAATGACCTGCAATCCTCTGGCACGGAATGTGGTTTGAAGATCAATGGGGTTCTCGCTTCTTAGTCGATCTAGCCAGAGACTAATGGGCCCGGTCTCTGGAGGCTTAACAGGACGAGACTTCTCTCTTTCCCAGAGACGGTCATAGATATCCTCAAAATCACTCAGACTCCCAAGCTCCAGCACTTCGCGCAGCGAGTTGGAGCTCGGCAGGTATTCAATTCGCTCAAATTTGATCCTATTTCGGCGATGTAGTCGCTCGGTTCTCAAAGCCGTCAAACTCATGTTCCAGAGAGGAATGACTTCTGTGATGATCCGTTCGAGTGTATCGTAAAGCGGACCATGGTGATCTGGGCGCAGATTGTTGATGTAGGACGCAATACGGCAGCCCTCAGTAGTATCTCTGAACTTGATCTCACATGGCAGCCACTGGTAATCGAGACTATATGCAGTGAACAAGTCAAGGAATTCATGCTTGGTTCTGGTTCTGCCATTATTGATTAGGCTGAAGGGGTCGTGCTCTTCCCACTTCACCTCCAGGGCCTTGGCCCTCCCCGAATGGGAAAAATAGTCATCAAGTCCGATCACTCTGTCTGGGAGTACTTGACTACGACTATAAGCGAGCGCGAACAACGACGGATCGACCAAGTTGACGATCTGTCCTCCCGACCCGCGCTCATAGTCCTTGTCATGCTCAGCAATGTTCTCCAGAGGCTCCACAGCCGCCTGGAGGGCAAGCTTGATATCTTCAGTGACAGCAATGTCGGATTTGACGACGCCTCCGTCCAACGCAGTGACCATCCCCTTTTTGAGAAATATTTCAGCCTTGAACTTAACTTCCTCGATGACCCAATCCACCATCTCGGGGCTAAGGCCGTTATAGATGTCGAGGAACTTCTGGCGCCATTCTCTAGCGCAATTCTCATCAAAGACCTGATCTAGTTTCAGCATGTCTCTGGGGGCAGAACTTGAGCCGCGACTCTCACCCTTTTCTCCCAACCTGGCTCATCTGTGATTTTGTTCATGACGTGCACCATAGTGATTTCCCAGAGAGTCTTTTCAGAGCTGAGACCTATTAGTGGTCGAAGGCGTCCTATCCTTGGCTTGAGAACTTACGTGCAGCGCTCAGTTATGTTTGAGGGGTGCAAAGCTATGCGAAATTGGTCCTGCGGGTTTGAACCATCAGAAACATCCTCCTAGGTATGGAGACGACTCTTACCCGGTGTTCATGGAACAAGGATATAGAGAGACCTGGTAGCATAAGCGGATCCGACTGAATTCCCGACAATGGGCCTTCCTCCAAGTTCTCCATGTCGAATGTGGAGGATCGAGATGCAATGTATACTGTTCATCCTCCTAGAGAAGGGACAAAGTAGAGAGCACAGAACAAAGTATGGCAGTACAGCCTGGCGTCGGTTCAATGGTGGGCCTGCGCTGAGATATTTGCATGCATTGGTGCGCAACTCGTCCCAGGTGTATTCCATTGTATGGTGTTTGGTGGATATGTAGTATCCCTATTCACATGTTCCTGCAAGCCTGTGCAGTTCTTCCATCAAAGCTGGTTCTGAGGAGTGGTATGATCATGAAGGCTTGGTGTCTAGTGTCCATGCAGACTCCTTCTCAAAGGACATTTCTAATTTTAAAGAATCGGACAATAATGCAGAGATTCTGCATCATTCAAAACAGTGGAAGGATTGTAAAGCAAGAACTGGCGATTCCAGAGAACCAAGCTGCAAGGCAGGAATTGGTAATGAACGACCTCAGGCGCCCACTCTGCTTTATAGCAACAATTTGCTATGTAGATATTTACTACCTACACTTGTATCTATGGTAGAAGGTAGACGTGATTATTCAGTCCACCAGCAGGAAATGATCTCCACCAGATCTCAGCAGTCAAACTCAAAGGTACCAATCAGCAGCATCTTGACCCCACAGATACCCAACATGTTATGTTTACAATAGGCACCTCATTTGAGTGGTAACGTCATTCCAGTCTGTCTGTCTATCAGGTCGCCGACTATAAATCCTCTGCATACATTCTTGAAAAAAAATGGCTCCTGTACTACTGGTTGTACGGTGGTGTTTTTTCCCTTTCGAACAAGATGGTACCATTAACTGATGAACAGCTAGGAAGTCTGGAATGGTTGAGCTTCTCATCGACGTGACCTCGGACCGTCGACCACCTGAAACTTCGTCCTTCACATCTCTTGTCTGCAGCCGGTTTCTTGCCAACAGACGGTCACTTCCTTCATCGTATTGCTTCTAGAAAAGGTTTGCAGATGGGAACTATTCTCCAGCTATCTCTTCATCTTCATTTTATCTCATATTGAGTTGCAGATCCCTCTCCAGACCCATCGCAATCAGAGTCATCCATGGTCGGTCGGCCTTATCGCCGACCTCGCCCAGCCACTCAAAAAGGCCCGCTAGTGTGATCCTTGAGAAGAGACTCGAGCAGTTAGTTTGATGGTGTCGGTCCATTTGGACGACTGCCCGCCATTCAAAATTCTGACTGGAATTTTTCTGTGGCGGTGGACACGCGCGGACCTTGCAGCTCCGTGGACGAGAGAAAACAATCACATTGTGTGTGCTCGGATCTGAGCTCTAGTTGGATTGCTGGGTACTGTCGCCAATTAAAGAGCCGTCTGGGTTTCAACCCGCCATTCTGGAATCGCATCCCTACGATCTGGACCATCATCTGTTGGCTGGGATACGAGTCTGGGCAAAGGCTCTCATAACCCCGTACTGCTCCAAAAAAAAAAATAAGAGAGTCCAGGTTCTGGGACACCTCCTGCTCTGCAGCCAGCCGGTTCCTACCAGGGATCCCACAGAACAGTCACGCGCGTCGCTTACTCACATACTGCACCCCGAAACTTGCGGGTGACACGAAACTTTTGTTTTGCGGCCCTCGTTCTTGTCTATTCCGAGTTGTGGAGTAGGAGTTCTGATAGAGGGTGCTTATGACGCATACGGAGCTGGTTGTAGGCAATCACATAAGACTTCGCATTTGCTCGGTTTCTGCATCCACTCTCCTCGTCGAGAGTACTGAGACATTGCCCATCTCGGGGCTTGAATTTACGAAACAGAGCATCGTTTTGTGAGCTGCCGAGACTCCGACGCATCGAAACGAAGTTGCTCTGTTGTTTGTCTCGGGAGCGTGTACGGAAAGGCTGGACAGCTTGTTGACAATGGCGGATAAAGCAGCCTTTCAGGTGATTGTCTTGGTAAGTCCATTGTTTCTCAGCTCAACTCTTGCCCTTGAGTTTACGTATCAGCAAACATGATCTTTGGCAAAAGTTTAGCTATCCCTATGAAATAAAATGGCTCCTGAAACTTTTTTGTCCCTTTCCTCGTTGATTTATCCATCTTGCCGGATTTCAAGTATCTCTTCCATATGTAAACCATTCGCACGGTGAACTGTGTGGACTAGCGTCGGGTTCCAACATGCAGTCAAACCGGTAACTGACATCTTGTCTCATGAAGGGTCCAACGGGAGGTCCTCGTGAAGACAGCCTCACTGGACTTCTTGTCCGATCAACATCGACGAACTGGTCGACGAATTCGGTGATTGCGGTTGACGCAGGTACCCTTGTTTCAGGAATTATTCACACTCTGGAGCAATACAATGCGGAATTAAGAGATGGCTCGTATATGATGGATGAAGGGCCCTTTGCCGGCCTTAGAATGCCGTACAAGTCGGCTCAAGCCAATGCTGCACATATCTTCCGAGACATCATTGGAGCTGTTTTGATAACACATGCTCACTTGGATCACCTGTCCGGCCTGGCGATCAACACACCCATGCTTGAAGCAGGAAACGGGCCCAAACCATTGGCCGCTCTACCGTCGATTGTCGCTGCCATAAAAAACCATATGTTCAACGACGTGATCTGGCCAAATCTGTCCGATGAAGATGGCGGGGCGGGTCTACTGACATATCAACGTCTCGTTGAAGGAGGGAACCCAAGGTTCGGTCGTGGAGATGCGAAGGGATATATCCGAGCCTGTGACGGTCTTCTAGCCCGATGCCTCGGCGTCAGTCATGGGCGATGCAGGCAGCGTTTTCACCCTGAGTCCGGTACTCACCACCGCGTGGGTAGCTCAGTCTTTGCTGCTGATCCACTGATGCTGCCTTCCAGAGCTATATCCGTCGATCACTCTACCGACGCAGGGTAAGTCTACCACCCTGGAACGCCAGGGTATTCCACTGACATTGAACTACTTGAAGGATATACTCTCCAGCCCGCTCTCCCCGAATGCTCTCAGCTAACTCGAAAGAGCCCATTTGGGCAACAGTGGAGAGCTCTGCATTCTTCATCCGTGATCACGATACTGGCAATGAGATCATTATCTTCGGCGACGTCGAGCCCGACTGTGTATCGCTTGACCCACGCAATAAACGCGTCTGGGAGGCAGCAGCACCGAAAATTGCGACCGGTAAATTGCGCGCCATCTTCATTGAATGCTCATATGACGATTCTGTCGAAGATGCAACTTTATACGGTCATCTCTGTCCGCGACACCTGATTGCGGAACTGACGTTGCTGGCGGGGAAGGTTATGGAAGCCCGGCACCCGCACATGGCGATATCGAGTATTGGAAAGCGTAAACACTCAGATTCCAACACGTACGGCGGAAGTGGGGGCCAAGTGAGCCCCAAATCCAAGCGTCCTCAGAGCTTCTCCGTTGCAGCCGGCAAGAGGGCCGACATGTCTTCTGCTACGGCCGACATGCGACCCCGATTCTACTCAACCGCGGAAGGCTTGGTCCAGATCCCTGAGCTGGTTCATGACGAGTCGACACCGAGTTACTACGAGCCCGACGATGTAAGCGATACTGGAAATCCCGCGGATCCTGCACCACGGTCCGCCAGTCCTGGAGAAGCTCAGACCGGTGACTCTGGACAGCTTCCGCTGTCGGGCTTATCTATCTATATCATACACATCAAAGAAGATCTGACTGATGATATCCCGCCTCGAGAACGAATTATACAACAGCTTCGATCCCGAGGCGAAGCCGCTAGACTAGGCTGCGAGTTCTACGCTCCCCATCGCGGAGAAGGCATCTGGATTTGAAACGAGGAAGTCAGCGGAAAGCAGATTTCCTATTTGAGTCCTAATTATGGATGTTGACTGACACCAGTACACGCTCTCTTGCACCCCATAATTTTTATATAGGCCCGGTTTTGAGCGTTTCAAACGAAGGAAGTGAAGGACACTTTCATATTTATTTGCGACGAGGCAGTCCCGACTGTGCGTCTACGACGTTGATCTGATCTACCCTACTCCATGACCCCTACGCATCAAGTGCAAAAGCCATCGACAATAACCATGGGCATTGTTCACGGCTGCTGGACAGCCATTTTTGTGCATACCACGATATATAATATACTTCATCCAGTGTTCGCATACAGGACTTGACCTCCTTCTCGTGCATAGGATTTATCCAAGCATATCAAATCTCAATCAAACACCACGTCCTGTTCCACAGATAGGTTCGATCGGCAGTGCGCATCGAACATTTAGCAGCAAGCCTGGAGATAAATTCCTCAAAGGTGAACACCACATGTGAATCGCTTCGAGCTTATATAGGTACCATAGTTTCATCCCGTTCAGTATATATAATGGTGTCCACACTCACGAGGAGCCTTCTGCGGTAGCTTTGGCAATGACATCCTCCCATAGACAGCAGTCACCATCTGGAATCCTCAAGCCAGTGGACTCTCCATCCGGCCGGTCGGATTTCGATGGCTGGTTCCCAGGGAGATCCAAGATCGCCTCTCCGTCCCTTGCGAAAGCAATGAGGTCTTCTTCCGTTCCCCATTCACCCATAGCCATTACACCTACGGGGACACGGCCCCCTTTATCGCCACTGGAGTACCCGGCGGGGCAACTGATGGCTGGACACCCACTGAAATTCGCCAGCCAGACATACTCCATATTCCGGACGGAGGCTTTACCGTCGGACACGCCGCGGGCAAGGTCCGTTTCGCTTTCGATCCTCCAGCCGGGGATGGGAGATGTCGGGGTCAGAATGAGTAGACCGGGGTGTTGGCGGAAGAGGTGGGCGAGGTGGGACATGAGGAGGTTGCGGAGGCGCTGGGCGGCGATGAGATCCTGTGCGGTGATCTGCCACATGCCCATGCTGACGAGGACCTTGTTGGGGGCTGTGAGGGCGCCGATCTGCGCGGGTTTCAGGCCCGAGGCGATCTCGGCCATGATCGTTAGCACGTGTGCGCGCTGCCCCTCGGGGAGGTAGGGGATGGCGATGTCGACGATGGTGTAGCCTTGCTTGCGGTAGAAGTCGAGGGCGGCATCGAAGACGGCTCGGACGGGTGGCTCGGCGCGGTCGATCCAGGAGGGAACGATGCCAATGGTCTTGCTCCGGGGTCCTTGAGGCGCAGATGAGATGCTCGACATGGGGTCTGGGAAGGCGGCGGAGACGGGGTCTTCGGCTGCGGGCGGGGGCGCCGCCATGAGGCGGTAGGCCAGCGCTAGGTCATCAATGCTGGCTGCCATCGGTCCGTAGACACCGACTGTTGGAGCCAGTGAAGCTGTTGGGAAGCCGCTGACGCGATTATGTGTGGGTTTCAGGCCCCAGATCCCGCAAAAGGAAGAGGGAATGCGGATTGAGCCTCCGCCGTCCGCGCCGAGCGCGATGGGCACGAGGCCTGCTCCGACCGCATAACCAGACCCCCCTGAGGAGCCACCGCAGTAGTAGCCCTGGTTGTGCGGGTTTCTGGGTGTCCCGTAGTTCGGGTTGTTGTTCGTGGTGTCTGTCTCCGGGGAGTGCTTGTGAGACTTCTGGTCATCAAGGCTAAGGGGAGGGTCGACACTTACCCAGACCAAGCTCATGCATGGTAGTTTTCCCGATGATGATAGCACCAGCTTCCTCCCACTTCTGCACGCACCAAGAGGTGCCCTCAAACCCTCCCTTGAAGTCTAGGTTGCTCCCGAGGTTGCGTCGGTACCCTTCGACATGCACCTCATCTTTGACCGCGACCGGCACCCCGTCAAGAGGCCCCAGGGGCTGACCTTGCTTGAATCTCTGAGTCGAAGCTTCCGCCGCGGCGAGAACCCGCTCTACCTGCGACTCCACAAAGGCGACCGAGTGCTTCCCGGGGTGTCGAACATCACGCCGGATCAGGGGTAGCAGTGCCTCTACGACAGCAGTCGGAGTCAGTTTCCCGGACCTGTACAGCGCATGGTAGTCCGCAGAAGTGTAGTAGTTTGCAGAACCCTTTCTGCTTGCTGGCGATGGTGGAAGCTCCTCTGTAGCTGCACGCTTCGAGTCACCGACCGGAATCACAGTTGGATCGTAGCGAGGAGCATAGTCGCGCAGCTGAGGGATTTCGCGAATCACGTCAAACCCTGCATTGCGCCAGAAGAAGCTTTGAGCAAATCCGACAGAGTGAATGCTGTGACGAGACGTCAGTTGGGTGAGATGGATGGTGGTGGTAGAGATCCACATACATGGCAGCTCCGATGGCCAAGGGTGTGCCGCGGAAGACCGGAATCGATTGTGTCTCGTTCTGGTAGGGGACGGACGGTCCTTCGCGGACCTCAGGATAATGAACAAATTGATGCTCGTTTTTAGTGGACTCCATTTCGCCTAGCAATATATATATATATGTTTTAGAGTGAAGGATCGACAGTGAGTAGTGCTGGGAGCTCCTTATTTAAACTCGTGATAGTATGCTTTGCTTCCCCACTGACGTAGTTGACTACCGCGGTTCACATGTGTCTATGGACATCGTACTCTTATATTTGTATAACTAATATGGTACAGTTGTATATCTTCAACACCATCAATTGCTCTTAAACACCCTAGAATGGCAGTATTTTGATGTTGGTATGATGCAGCGCTAAAGCAACCCCTGTGATGATGGATGAATATCCAATGAGAATAGCCATGGCCTGCGCAGTATTAGCATCAATTGTAGAGATGCTCAGATTCACAGCCCCAGTCAGAAGATTGGCCAAAAGAAAGATCGCAAGACTGTTTTTATTGAACGCCGACATGATTCGACTCGTAGCAAAATTGACTCGCTCAGATTTGCTCTCTTGAGTCGTTGTCCGATGAACTGCAGGAAAGCAGAATGTTTCGATCAGGCAGAATACAAAGAGTTGCGCGTTGTTGAACGCCGAAACCCAAAGGACATAGGGCATGTTAGCGAGGCGGCGCGAGACAGGGATATTAGCTCCGTATCCCATCGCATAAGTGGAATTCAACACAAAGAGAGCGGTCCACGCTAACGCTTGCACCCCCAGGCTGGTCAATACGCGCCTCCTGGCCTGTTCTGGACTTCTTGAGGAAGACGTCCCGCGAGGGATTATCCGAATGCCGATCGCACGGCCAGCAAGAAAAATCGCCAGATAACCTAAGAAGGAGAAGACACCTTCGCGATTCTTGGACAGCAAGCTTGGCCCACGAGGGGAGACGAGAATGTAGCTCTTTAGGTCCGTTGACTCCAAGGCGACTTGATACAAGACGGCGATTCCCACGGAGAGAACCTCGTATGACGGAACGAGAGTAGCCAAGGCGTCAAAGATCTCCACAAACGGAGGCAAAAGCCCCAACGTAAAGAAGAAGTTCCAATGTACGCCGTACTCGGTGACGTGCTCCGCATAGTCCAAGCCTTTGACGCTGTATAGCCGAATCAGGCCGAGGACAAGCAAAGGTATAGAGTGTCGCGTCGACGCAATCAACCTCTGGGCAAGAGGCAATCTTTTAGAGCCATTGATCCTGCTCTTGAGGAGTGAGCGAGCGGATACTACTCCGCCCGAAAAGACAAAAGATCCAACGCCCAGATCCATGAGTGACGTACCCCAGTTTTCTACCTTGGCGAATCGGCGAGGGAAAATGCGAAAATCGACAGCCAAAATAGCGATACATGTGACAATCATCATGGCGGCGCGATAGGTCGTGAGAAATGGATGAATTGGTAGAGACTCTGGCAAGGCTGTCGCATGTTTCGGCTCATCTTTCCCAGCTATAGCGGACTGGTGAGGAGGTTTCGCTTTGACTGGTGCCCGAGGACGTTTCGTAGAGAGGAGTATCAGCAGAGCGGGAGATATTAGAAGGAGATTGAGAAGAAGAGGCGCCGAAGAGTATAAAGTGGTTGCGAACAAGATAGCTAGTACATTGAGCAGGAAATCAACGAGGAGGGCGGCGGCGCTGTAGGGAGTGAAGAAGGATAGGCGAGATTGTAGAATTGACCACAGAAAAACGGATACCTGATCGATCGCAAAGAGATTCGGTTAGTCGAGAAACAATGTAGACGAAGTGGCCACAATAAGATAGTAATACTAACCGAAGCAACCAGGGTGACGGCGTTGATTTCCAGGATGCTTCCTCCTGCAAGACCTGAGACAAAGGCCTCTTTGCGAGCTTTGTAATTTGGATCCATCTTGGCTCAGCGTCACGCGATTTGCACCTTTATTTGGAGGTAACTCATCCAGAAGAGTCAATCTCAACCACAGGCTGCATGAGGGAAGAATCGAGGAAGATACCAACTGTCACATATCGGGCGGCCTCCAAGTGGTAGCCTGAGAATTCAGGCAGTACTACTAAGCTGCTTCCCCAACAAGAGCCTCGTTACCGACATTCTCAACCCATTTTCCCATTTTTGCTCGCTCTTGTAAAAGTAGGAAGTCTCTAAGGGATGAGAAATTGGGAATATTTTCATCTCGGTTCATCCGACGTCTCAGGTGAGCGCGTCGTTACTGGACGATACTTTGAAGATTGAAGCTACATTCGTAACTCTGTTCACCCACCGGAGAGCATTACATCATGCAAACAAGGCGATTGCGGGCGGGGGACCCGGTGACTGAATGAAAGCTTCGCACTGGACAACCGTAGGTGCAGGGATGACTGATGGATATCCTCTGGTGGATGACTGACTGCTTCTACTGATCCTGGTGCAGGGGTGAGGGGGTTCCAACAGTCGGGACTCTCGAGCTTATGCTACGATTTGACGGCAGTTGGAGGTGGGATATTGATGCGCCACTACGGAGTGTTTGCATTCTCTATTCCCGTATTAGGTATTGTCCACAATGAACTTAACCGCTTTGGAACCTGGATCCTGGCAAATCGATTGTGTGGAACTAAACTCCTCCTCAAGCCCTTAGTTCAAACTATGCGGCCGGAAACCAGCCGAGTCGCGATTGATCCACATACGGAGTGCGGCAACAATAACCTCCGTGCTTCGCTACGACTTTATGAACATATCGATAGAGTCAGGACATGTGACTCGAGCTCTGTATCTCGAGTCATCCTGATATGGTGGAGCTTGAGTCTCGAAAGCAACCAGTTCAAGCTGTGCGCGACTGTTGACCATGTCACCATGTCCTTTTTAGGGCGATCGGGGTCAAGTTACGAAGCCACGTTGTTTAACTATATGACTGACTAAGGGATTATCAATCAATCACTAGGGGCCTATCCCAATTAGTCTAGTGGTTATCCAGGGGGGTCGGCATGAAAGCTTGGAACAATTGGACCAATTTCCAGAGAGTAAGGATACTCCGAGTCCAAGCACCAACGATTGAGCAAAAAGTACGGGTACGGAGTAGTTAACTATGGTCTGCAGCCGCTAGGCCCCACATACGTCCTAGCCTTGATGTGATTGAGTGCCATACCGGTACATCTTCGGACTCGCCGTGTCGCCCAATTACTCGAAATCTATCTCTTCGCATCCATTGAGAACCAAAGTCGACGCAAGATTGAATGGTAAAGCATGGATGATCCGGAGGTGATTCTTTTCCATTCCATGCCGCTGTTCGATTATTGTTCAGCCAGCCTTCAGAAAGTTCAGAGGTCTTGAAATGTCTGATTCGGCTGATGAGTGCGCCGTAAAAATCTTCCTGACGTGGACGCTCTAGCTTACTGGCTCTCTCGGTTTTTGGCTCTGAGATATCGCCGATGACCTCTGGTGGATGTCTACATGCATCACAACCTTGCTCTTTCGCAGTCCGCAGACCCAGAAATACAAACAAACGAACAAGCAACAGGACCCTGTTCACTTACTCAATCCTCAATGGTTATCTCGCCGGAATGGTACTGGTCAACGGATTCCTGCAAATCACGTAGTTGAAAGGAAACTGGGGACGGCGATCAAAGCTCGTCGCCCAGTCTCGTCGAATCCTCGCATGGTTTCCGCATTCTGGATCGCTTCCATGGTTCCAAGATCCGAGACATCTTCCAAAGGGACGCCAGATCAGATTTCCTTTCTGGGAATAGATCGTTGACGGATGACCATGATGAACCGCTCCTTGATCGAAAATCTTGTGCAAAACACCTCGGCTCACAAACCACATTAGAGAAGAACTCAGAGAAGGTTCCTGGACTAGCTGGATAGTGCCATGATAGGCACACTCGTCGAAAAGAATCATATATCTACGAATCCAACTATTAGAGGACAGGTGCGACCAAAGTTCCTAAGCCAACGACTAGTGCATGTTGTTCAAGTTTTCCAAAAGACTGAAGAAGCCGCACACACCCTTTGCTCATGTATTCTGGTATGGATTTCTTTCTCCTCCATTTCTTTCTTTTGTGCTGTGTGAGTCCCTGTTATAAGCTAACTTGTGACCATCCAGGTGCAACCCCTCCCCCAATGCATTATTGATGCAGTTGTTTCAGTAGTAGTCAACAAAGTTCGGACTTGGGGCCATCCTAGCGCTGGAGTTCCTCGGCGATGTGCCCGGGGTTGGCCTAATTTCTAATGCTCCTCCAGTCGGTCTCTGGCTCACCATGTGGCCATGATACTCCAGGGCCCCACTAAGTAATTCATTTAATAATCTCCTCCATAGGTCAGGCAGACGGTGTAAGAATTAGATAATGCAATGAGCGCTTGCTGTCTATTCGCGGTGCCACTTTGCAATACTATTGGCTGGGCAAGCACTCCATACCCAGTTCATGGCCTCGAGGGGTAGCAGTCGCCATCGAGAATTATTCCCTCCTCGTCTCATCATATTTGGCAGTAAATGTGCATATGCTTGGGCAAGTCTACAGCTGATCCAATTGAGCAAACGGAAATATCTGCGAGGGGGTTGCCCATTACCAATCATCTGTCTCTCTTGATGCGAATCAGACGCGGAGCACACTCGTAGTCGGGAAGATCGGAAAGTGCAATGGCGCCGACCCATAGGTCATCAAAGTAGCCTCTTGGAGAAAGGCGCTATCCCTCTTCTTGTCAATCCCACAGGTTGTTTCGTCCTTGCAATTTGTTTCATTGGCGGCCCAACTGCTTGAGGCGATGGTCCGTAACCTGGCGACCCTATCGCCCTTTTACGAACTTGGCAGATATCGACTGTCGCACTTGTGCTGACAGCGCAAAGAACGAGTCCACTCTTGGGTACTTTTTAGGGCCGGATGCCCCTAATTCCGAGCGTATATAAAGATGCCGAACCTGGGGGCTCTTTTAGTTGTGGTCCGGGCGTTTCACATCAGACGAGTGGTTCAACCAGGGACGTTTCTTCGAGCGCCACAAAAGGCTTCTGATCCATCACCCTGGCATCTCTTCCATCATCTATCTCAGTAGACTATTATACGTCAGTGACCTTTAGACTAGTGCCTTGAACTCGGACATTTACCGCGACCCACGCACATGGAACGACCAGAGTCACATATCGAAACCTCGACTGCCATCTTCTGATTCTCCGGGGTCTGTGCGCAATTCTGTATGATAGGCATTGATATCGCTGGTCAATGCATGCGCAATCACGACGAGCACTTCCCTGACAACAGGTCAGACCAAACCGGTAGCAACGACTCGTTGTAAGCTGCAACTGTCAGCACACCACGATGAGCTCTAACCAAGACACCACGCAACCGGCGACAAAGAAGAGAGAATCCCGCGCGGGAACTCGTAAAGTGACAACTCTTTCTGCTGAACAGCTGGCGCGAAAGCGCGCCAACGATCGAGAGGCACAAAGAACCATTCGTCAGCGGACGAAAGAACACATCGAACGACTGCAGAACCAAGTAGCTGAGCTCCAAGCCAAGAATCAGCAATTCGACGACGTGATGCGACGGAATGCTGCCCTAGAGCATGAGATTAAGGGCCTGAGACAGCAACTGGCTATGCTCACTGGTAACCAAAGCTATAGCAGTACCGGTATGTGACTGGGAAGCATTTCCCATGACCCCTCGAGCACAAATGGCGGCTGGATTGATTGCTAAAGCCTCGGTTCGACCTCACAGAAGGATCATACACCAGCCCAGCGGGAGCCACGCCTCCAAGTCATTACTCAGAGTCCCTGAATGTACCTTCGGTGTCAAGAGCGCCCTCTGTCCTCTCCGCCTCGAGCCAGATTTCTGTCGCGCAGGATTGGCAGACGTACGGCTCGACGCGGTCATCATCTATATGTGAATCATCAGATGCGGATTACAGCAACAGGGCCGAATCTTACGGGTACGAAGCGCAGGCACAGCCTCATACAATACCCAACGCAATCCCGCACGCCAACTTCAACACCAACGTCGCCCATGCACCGGATCCCACTTTCCAACAATACCCCCAGTACTTTCGAGCCAGCGGACCGGAAAGTGCCCGTGGAGAACAGCTTCTACGTCATCCTCAGCAAGCTTTGCCATATGTACCCAGCCAACTGCCCATGCCAATGCCGGATGTCCCACCAGATCGGGCAGCGGGCGGGTATCCAGTACTTCAAGGCTCGCAGCACTACCCTCATCCCGTTAATCAGCCAAGGGGAAATCAGCCAGGAGGCAATCACGGCTACAGCTACGGCTGGCCACATCAGTCTTGAACTCACTCACCGGGAACTCCAAGCATTTTCCACCCGGCACCCGAATATCATGGGGGGTTTTGAGTATCATATTCACCACTCCCGTCGAAGAAGACTCGACGCATGTCGATTGAGCTAGCGCTTCGACCAGAGAGACTCGATGCGTATGCTCGGAGGACTTGGTGTGTCAACGGAGTTCGAAGTCGAGGTTGAGCCCGCTTCACTTGCAGAAAATCCTCCAGTAGCAATGCCCTTATCCGTCGCTGAAGCATGTACATCAGTGAAAGGGCGTCGAAATGCGTCTGGCTCTTAGGAGCAATTTCGAGCCGGTCCTCACCTCTATTCGCTCCAACGACAACCAAGATACTGTGACGGGACAGTAAAGGCAGACAGAGAGACGAGCTCTCCAACACCGAAATGTGCGCACAGTTCCGGCGCCGAAGAAAAAGGAATAGTCTTTATCATCGAACCATGACAGCTTCATTCTGTTCCGAAGCGAGGCGAAGAAATGTTCTCACTTCTATCTATAGCCGAAATGCTGATATCATACATGCAAAGTGATCATCGTTAGCCTTCCACAAAAAAGACTTGCAGGTGCTGCCAATAGAACATTGGGGTGGTTCTGCCGTCGGAGTCAAATCGCCGACCCCCATCATTGCGCTCA